TTGCTGACTAGAAACCCCTTACGGACTTTTTGTGTGAAACAGAAAAAAATGAACTTAGGATTTATGTTTTTGACGGGGTAGATCATAGAAAGAAGAGAGTTATGTTGTAACCATAAAGTAAGAGGCAAATTTATAACTGTACTTATAACTGCTGTAAAGAAGATCGGAAGCTACTTCTTCGTATCTTTTTTCTTTCTTTTCTATTTTTCTTTTCCTTTTCTTTTCCTTTCTTGCACTTTTAGCTTTCTCTTTGATTTCTTTCTTTTTCTTTTCTTTTCTTTGTCTTAGTTTTTATCTCCCTTTTAAAAAAACTTTAATAATATACAGGATATATAATATAAAGAACTGTGTGTGTTGCTGGCTTAGCATTTGGACAAATCCAGTCCAGTTGGTATGTTTATGTTTCAATGTCTTGGGCAAACGATGGATTAACTCACAATCACAGGGAGGGCAGGTGACGTCAGCCTGTGTCATTTGCACACTTGCCTCCCCCTGGAGATGTCCACATGCATTGGACTAGGAAGCGATCATTGTTCACTGGTCTCTAGCCGTCACGCACAGCGTGTTCTTGCAGCAAAACCAGTGGTGTACAAACATGATCTGGCCCACCTTTTCATATGCTTACTTGATGACCAGAAATGCAATTCACCCAGTGTCCATCTGCTCCTGGTTGGCCCAAAGAACCAGGGGGTTCTGCAACCTCTAAATAAGACACCAGGTTTGGCTCCAACATTTCACCTTCCCCTGATGAATTTGTAAAAAAAACCCCAACCCAACCCCAAAGTTGCAGTGAGCCGCATTTGGTGACCGAAGGGAGGGGATTCCCACCCCAAGTGGAATGAAGGGGGCTGCTTACAAGGAATGGCAATGCAGCATGCAGACCAGAAGCACGGCTTGACTGGGGGAAGGTGGGAAAGAGCGCTCTTGGTGTCCAGCCAGGAAGAGCACAAGTAGAGGTTCTGTTAACGGCTGGCTGGGGGTGAGTTGAGGACAATGTTAAGTATTCTTGGCCACCCTGAATGATGGATGACTCATGCTCATGATGGGGTAATCTGGAAGGGGGATCTGCCCTTGGACTTTTGGGGGAGATGTTGGCCCAAAGATTCAGGTACCTTGGGATGGCCACCATGTTCCAAAAGATGCCCTTCCTGGTGGAACAGTCTACCCTGCACTAAGTGGATATAGGCCTGAACTCATACCCTAGGGCAGTGTTTCTCAACCTTAGCAACTTTAAGATATGTGGGCTTCAACTCCCAGAATTCCCCAGCCAGCCATGAGTTGAAGCCCACATATCTTAAAGTTGCTAAGGTTGAGAAACACTGCACTAGGCTAAATCCAACTCTGGTTGATTTGATTTTGGCTCTGGGGGAAGACCCTACCAAGATAACGTCTAAACTTTAGTTTACAGCTTAGCTCAATGTGTGCCCTGCAGGAATTTTGGAATATTCCCCAAAGCATGGTCAAACCAAGCCATGGTTTAATCGAGTGCATGAAACTAGCTATGTAGAAGCTTCTTAGTGTTCCCCATCTGAGTCAGTTCTAATCTCCATCTTGACTTTTCTGGAGAAAAAAATGAGTCGACACCAAGGAAGGCCCTGGGCCCTGCTATCTGTTGGCTCCAACGAGGACTTTCTGTCCCCCTCAGCCCCATCTTCCTGAGCTTCTCAGCTCACGACATTCCTTGCACCCTGAAATAACAGAATAGCTCATGCTTTTCTAAAGGTACACCCATCTCTCATTTGCAAGAGATGCCTGCTGTGTTCTCAACCCTGGAAAAGAGCTTTGGGGGCTTGGGGAGGGTGTCTCTAAGGACAGTCAAATTAGTTCACTTTAGTTTATCTCACTTTTTTTTATTTTTGCAAACATGTCCGGTTCTTTCCCCCCCTCCATTTGATATACATTTCTTCAAATATATATTCATTTGTCCGCAATACATTGTTTTTGCAAACTATTTTCCATATTGCAATAATTCTAATACATTAGGCCTGTGAATATACACATTCCCCCCCCCCCATACGCCTTTAAAAGATATTTATCGAGGGAGCGCATTGCAACATTTGCCAGGATGCAAATTTTAAACGACTGTTCTATTTTCATTTGGGTGCCAGTCTGAGAATACAAAGTTCGTATGTTTGCATTCAGATGAGATTTATCTAATTCCTCTCCCCGCATCGGAGTGAGGTCACGGCAGAGAAGGCAAAGAGGACGATAACAAGATTAGCTGGGGCTCTTCTGCTAAGAGTTTCAGGAATAAATCACATCCTTGATGTCTCAAACTGCTCTCAGCTGAACAGAACAAATTGGAAGTCTCTAACACCATCTTCCTGATTTGGGCAGCGGTAACTCCGAGCAATTACAACCTGGAAATACTCTGGGGATACATCACCCCTTAAAAAGAAAACCTGCCAGGTACAGAAAGAGGCTTTGGTGTTTGACATCCATCCCGTGTCCTTTTGGCCAGTCTAATCCTGCCACATAAACCCTGGATCTACGCCAGCCAGCCGCATCAAAAACAGGAGGAACCGGATTGAAACGGTCATCATCCACAATTTTACTCGCTCTCCAGGGAGTGAGGAGCTCCGGGAAGGGAGGCTTTACACACACAGTCGAAATCAGCAGCAACTGGAATGACAGAGGACCAGCCCTGGTTGGATCCGAACCTTTTCCCACGATGATTCCTGCAATTAGGAGAGAAAGCACACGGGGCAATTGGTGTGAGGCTCCCTGGAAAGCCAGTCGTGATCTAAAAGAGAAGCAGACTTCCCCATCGAATGTTCCAACTGTCTGGGACCGGGGCGTCCTCAGGTTTGGTCAAAAAAGTCAAGATGGTAACCACAGCCATGCCGTCGAAGCCCTGCCCCTTTTTTGTCTGTCTTGCATGTCCAAGGCATGCGAGGTTTTTTTAATATAATAACTTCATTACATTTTTTTAAAGGAACAGTTAAAAACGGACCAAAACTAGTATTAAGAAAGAAAAAAAGAAGGAATTAGAAAAAGAGAAAATAGTAAAAAGCAAACGTGCAGAAAAGAAAAGGAAAAGGAAAAAACAGCAAAAAACGAATTGACTTCCAATTTGAAGCTTTGATTGGGGAATTAATGATTTTAATTAATTAATGATTTTAATTTTAATGATCGGTTTGTGCCGATAGAAATAATGTGAATTTGGATTAATTAGTATAAGAAATTAACCTTTTTTAAATTTGTACTTATATCTGTATTGGAGATAGTCGGAAGTCACTTTCCGTTTCATTTTTCTATCTGTTCTCACTATTTTAGTTTCTGTCTTTTTCTTTTAGTTCTATCTTCTTTCTTTTCTATACTCTCTGATTTGTGTTTTAACTGTGCTTTTTATATATCTTAATAAAAGTTTTTTAAAAATAAAAATAATAAAAAAAAACCGGACTGACTTCCGACCCACCCCGCAACAGATCTAAGTACCAACAGACATCAAACTCTTGCTCTAAATTAATACCCGCGAGATTTTGCTTGCACGATTATGGCCACCATGGTGACATTGTGACCAGCCCACTTCAGTGCTGTTGGAACCAAATGTTGGCTCCAAAGAGCCTCTGCAGAAGATCTGGTTTTCTTTTTGTTCCTGTGCTTGGGGATATAGGAGAGGAAAATGCTCTCTGGATCTGCAGGGTGAGGTCAAAAAGGTCACACTGGCGGCCACAACAGTTTGACCGAAGCTCTGCCTGGGTTTTATGTGTTGCCCCGTTGTTGGGAATTTCCCAATAATGTTTTGATAGATTTGGTATTTTTAATTCTTATAATTGGATTCCTAGTAATAACTCTCTTGCATCAATTTGTACTTAGGCTTAAATTACCAATGCCATTTAAGTAATTGGGTTGGTTTAGTAATTATTTATGGATTCATAAACCACGTCAAGGTGACTCTAAGGGGTGGGCAAAACCAACCACAGCCAACACCATAACGATCATAGTAACATAAAATAACAGAAATACAATATTTCACTATGGACTTAAAAAAAACCAAAAAACTAATGTAATATTCCTGGCACTGGGAGATGGTTGCACTCAAGTCCCAAAGACTTCCCAGAACAGCCAAGTGAAGAGAACCATCTTCAATGGTCTAAGTCAGTGTTTCTCAACCTTGGCAACTTGAATGGGTACGTGGACTTCAACTCCCAGAATTCCCCAGCCAGCATGGGAATTGAAATTGAAGTCCACGCATCTTCAAGTTGCCAAGGTTGAGAAACACTGGTCTAAGTTATCTGAACATTAGAGCAGTGTTTCTCAACCTTGGCAACTTGAAGATGCGTGGACTTCAATTTCAACAGCCATGCTGCCTGGGGAACTCTGGGAGTTGAAGTCCAGCCATCTTAAAGTTGCCAAGGTTGAGAAATACTGGTCTAAGTTATCTGAACATTAGAGCAGTGTTTCTCAACCTTGGCAACTTGAATGGGTACGTGGACTTCAACTCCCAGAATTCCCCAGCCAGCATGGGAATTGAAATTGAAGTCCACGCATCTTCAAGTTGCCAAGGCTGAGAAACACTCCATTAGAGTGTTAATAATCTTTAGTCAACACTACAAAAACCAATGTATCGAAATAATATACATTAATGGATTATGCACGCTTTACAATAATATAACAAAAAAGGGAATAAAAGGAACCAATTCCTCATCCAATGCAGAGCAAAACATACAAACCAAACTCCATTAACTTCCTGCCCTAAAGCCAGGCTTTTGAGCCCTCCAACAGGAACGGGGCCATGCAAACCTCATACTCAACGTGCATGAGGAGTATCGCTAACCAGAGACTTTTCTTCTAATTTCTGCAAGTGTCCTCAAGGAGTCAGAAGCTGGCAAAACTCTCCTGGATACGGTCATGCCCTCCAGGCACTGACAACGCTGCAGCTTGTGGACCGATGATGATGATGATGATGATGATGATTTTGGAAAGACAAAGCAAACAGCACAACACACCAGTAGGAAGCGTTTGGCCCTCACCTGGTCATCCTGGAGGTCGGATCCTTACAGCCGCAGAGATGTGACGCGCGGGATGTGGAAGGGAAACGTTTCATCTGATCCAGTAGAACTAGACACAGCAGAGGAGAAAGCAAATCTTATTTCCTTAGGAAACAGGGGTGCCCGCACGGTGTGGTCAAAGAAGTCAAGAGGGCAGGCACCCCCGTGCCATCGTGCATGACGCATTGATGTTCCAAGGAACGGGGCTACCACTGAGGAGACTCAATTCTGTGGCTCCCCCAGAGATGACAGAGAAGGGACCAGGAGCGTTCCCAGCCTTCCCAATCTTTTCCAGTGGGCCGAATTTTGCAAGAGAGAAAGTTAGGCATTTTAGCAGCTGTTGTTGAAAACGAGGAAGCCTGCCGAGCTATTCAGATAACTAACCGTATGTGGGCTAGAGCTAGGCTTGATTTTTTAAAAAATATCTCTTTTATTGCTGCAGCTTTTGTGTTTTTTCTGGATTGTATGCTCTTCCCTTGTAAGTGGATTCTGGGCTTGGGAGGAAGGACAGGCTAGAAAAGAGTCGAGAATAATAATAATAATAATAATAATAATAATAATAATAATAATAATAATAATAATGTGAAGAACTGTTGGCAACCCATGTTTTACAGTAATGCCACTTACACTAATCTGTGCCGAATTGGACGAAAATGCTTCATCGTCTTGAGGGCGAGAAAAATACTAGGAAGAAGGAAGAAGGTGCAACCTCCCAGGCTGAACCAAAAGGCATTCTGGAAACAAGCAAAGGCATAAGTCACACAAAGACACACACACAAACGATGAGTCTCTTTCTACTGGCAGTGAGGGAAAATTCTCTATCTCTTTGTGTCCCCCAAAGACTGCTATATCTCACTGCGGAGGTCCCCAAAGTCAAGGTAGTGGCCACAGCTGCACTATGAAAGCACACACACCCTTCACTCTTTTTTATTAAACATCTTTAAGAAAAAAGAAAGAAAGAAAGAAAAAAAGATGGAAAAAAAGGGGAAAAAAGCACAAAGTGGATAGAATTAGGTTGAAGTTTTCAACATGTCATTGATTAAATAACTGAATATACTATATTGTTTTAAAACTGACACGTCAATAATGAACACGGAACAACATCATGCATTAAATCATCTTAAACTATCTCTAAGTATAATATTCGGTATTATGTTTTTCCTCCATTGAAATTCCCATTGTTGCATATCAATCGTGGCATTTAAATTCTGCTTCTATTTAATCATACTGTCTTTAACTTGTTCAGTTTCTGAGTCTTATTTCACCAACCACTTATGAATCAAGTCTAGGAAATGCTCCAAATTTTGTGTTGTAAGGTTTTCAAATTCAGTCACATCTCTAAGTGTTCTGCCTTATTTTTGCAGTTCTTTTAAACCTATCTTGCTTATTTGAAGATATTGAAGGTTGGTTGGTTGGTTGGTTAGTTAGTTAGTTGGCTGGTTCTTCTTAATCCAATCAATTTCCCAAGTGGAATTTGCTGCCATAGACTGATGGAATGGGTAGAAGGAATGACCTTGAGGAACAGGAGGAAGAGCCGCAAGGAAGAGCCAAGACAAGGGTCAGATAAGAGAAACCTGAGTCTGGGCCAGAACTGTAATGTGAGAAGGCATCTCAGACAAGATCCTCCCTAGTTCTCATGAATATAAAGGGAGGGAGAGAAAGGCCCAATTCAGATTTGCAAGATTCTGTTACTGTAGCTTTATAATAAAAGTAGGATTAGTATTCATGACTTTGATTTCCTAGTCTGGTCTATCTTGAAGGGCTGACAGTTGGCAAAAGTGGTAAGAATACAGTATAGGAAATTGCCTCATATGGCTATACAATGGATATACATCTGATTATATTGTTATGTTGCATGGATTGTTCTACCCAATATAATATAGTTCCTCTGGCTCAGGGTTGTCCACAGACTGGTTACGGCTCTCCAAGGTTTTTAGGTGTGGGAGCTTGGACCTACTGCAGGCCAAGAGGCTCCTTTGTCACGAACTGTTGACTTCAGGAAGAAGGTAGACAAAGCCACATGGAGGAAGAGGATGTGGGTGGATCTTGGTCCTTCCCAAGGCTTTTCCACCCAGAGGCTCATGGCTCTCCTCCTCTGGGTGGATTGCAAGGCAGCCAAACTGAGGCTTGCCCTGACATGAAGGTCTGGATGCCGCCCAAGCCTACATTCCTGGTTCCCCCAAGGCTGCATGTCCTCCCTGCCTTGATGCAAAGGAAACAAGGGAACTCAATCTTGCCCTGATGCCCCTGATGCCTCAAGGCTCTATTTTTAGTGGCTCTGTGGAGGGCCCTGGGGCATCCACAGACAACTCCCATGGTTTTCTACAAATCAGGGCAGGGCTGGCTGGGAACTGACCCCCAGATCAGGAGGACTGAAGCAAGGGACTTCCTAACTTTGAACTGTGGTCAGTAGAACACTCCTAAGGAATAGATGCGCAGGTATCAAGGAATGCACCAGGACACTTTCATAGAGGAGCATAAAAATTGCCCAGCTCCTTGACCTCTTCCTGCAAGACAGTGCCAAGAATCCTACAATCAGGGCATGTAGCCAACAGCTCAACCTATTAAGCTGTTGATTAGCAGATTAACCGATTAAAGGGATTCATCTTCTGGCAATTGGAGTTCAGAAGTACACTCCTTTTGAACATGGGGTTTCATGAAGCCCCCCATGGTTAGTAGACCTTGAGTCACAGCTAACACCCTGAAATGTACCAATAGAAGTGAATATGTGTAGCTCAGGGTTGAACTGTGGAGTCCTTGGGGTTCTCTGAGCTTGGTTGTTTTCTTGCAAACATTTCGTTACCCATAGAAATAAACCTATAGAGATAAACAGCATCTACACACTATTCAAAAGAGACAAAAGAAAGGAAAACAAAAGACCAGAACATCTCCTCACCCAGATAAGCA